TTCGAAGAAATTGAAATTAATATTATATGAAAATCTAAACATACATCTTCCCAACGAATTCTGAATAATGATAAGGATACTAACAACTGGAATTTTAGTACAATTCAACCTTGTAATCAGAATTAAAGCCAAATCGTAGAAAATCCCACTACTGGTCTGATGTCACTACGATTCGTAGCCGATTTTGCTTTTCTTTCTTTAAAGACCGTCAATACTACTGGGCTAGAAAGGATTAGACCACACAGCGAGGTCACTGACAGGTGGCTATCTCATTAACTCAGCTCTCAACAAACATAAGAAAAAGAGGATCATGGGGGACCAACAGGCACCGATTTTGGGAAGTTTTCTATATAGAGGGAGCAAGTAGCTACAAGTAGGACAGTGGGGCTTTAAAGAAACTTGAAATACCTTGGAAATTAGATTTTATGAATCATTTGACTGTTGAGATCCTCGATGATGAAGATTGAGATTTCATATCAAATGCTATAATAGCAAATTATTCCATATTCGGATCGTAGAACTTGAACTTGAACTTGAACTTAAACTTGAACATGAACTTGAACTGTACTCAGATCGGTGTGCGGTGAATAGCATTTAATAATAAAAATAAAACTCAATGTTTGAACTAGAATCGTCCATTCACTCGTTTATCTACTTTCTTTCTTCTACTGGGAAACCATCAACAAGGAGGCTTCATTGAAATGAATGAACTGATACATCATCTTTGTAAGCATTTAAATATTTCCTTCTTTTTTATAATTGTTTGGTTCTTAAAGGTAAAAACATTGTCAAAAATATTTGGTTATAATTTCACCGTTTTTAAATTGTTCCTATCTGTCCTATTTTGTTACTTATCATGGATATATATAACTTTGTTCAAACCTCAGATACGTTCGTTAAAATTGATATAAAATGCCATATTCATAAACGTCTGTGCCCATTGTGTGTATGCAAAATTCTCAATTAATAGATTGTTTACATTGTATCCTGCTCAGGGAACCATCCCATAAAAAAAAATATACAGACCGCCTCCAACGTCATTCGCCTGTCGTCCTTGTCCCTGGCTCGATATCTAACGCTTGCACGCCATCGAACAATTATGACGATAATTGTAAAGAATCATGTGCGATGATAATCCAACTGGGCTGGCAGTTGGTGTCGTCGCCTGGTGAAAATGCATTCCCAATGTTTATTGGTTGAATATTGATGGTCGGATTGGAGCGAGTATCTAAAGTCAATATGAGATGGAGGGTAGGGTAAACTTCCAAGCTCTGCCTTGGTACAGCGGTGTTGATATGGCGGATGCGTAGTCATGGAAGGTACAATATAGAGTGTGGTTATTTCACTGCATCCACGGTTCTGCTCCCGAATACAATATTTTTTAAATCCAAAATTAAACCCGGTGAAATCTGTATACGCTCATCCACTTCCGGTTCCCTGGTGATTCCTAAAGTTGCGAAAAACTTTCTTCTTTTTTTTGGGGGGGGGGGGGATCATTTGCTCACGCGTGTCTTACTTTCTGTAATAGCCTTCCTGAAGGCATCGCAAAATGTATAATCTCTGATTCCTTAAAAAAAATCATGTAAAAACGCTTCTGTTTAATTCTTAATTATTTCTACACTGTTGGTCATAATGGTGGAATATTTATTTTTACCCCAGTTTAGGAAAGGATTTTTAAAAATTATTTATTTCTAATAGATCTAGATAATGGCATACACTCTCAGGTTTTATTGAATATTAATTTGCGAATGTTTGTTTTGCGTGACTGCTTAATCATATGTGTGATACTATGCTAATCAGCTAAGGGACCTACGTCCTTAGGTCATAATTGACAGTAATGAGGATTAATGCCTCACAAAAGGGCACTAATACATGTACATGCGCCTTGAGCACTCAAGAGATTGGATTTGGCCCTATATACGTAACATTTATTATTATAATTATCATAGTTTTTTCGCAAATGTAATCAAAGCCTTTTACTGAAATTTATTAAATTATCGGTTTTATATTTTATCCTATTCTAAGATATAGCGTTAGGGCTAGTAGTGTGGTACGGTATGTCACTAAAACAGCTCCCGTAGGATTTTTGTGCCAAAGTTGATTTTTTTTTTTTTTTGCATTTTTTTTTTGCATTTTTTTTTTTTGCATTTTTTTTTGTTGCATTTTTGGATTCATTGGGGTCCAAGCTATCAGAAATTGATGGGGGTTCAAATTTTCCTGAAGACACCAAATTTCCCTATTGCGCGTTATATAAGCCATTTTGACGCCCAATATAGAACCCCCAGGAAATGAAGGAGGGGTCTGAAAATTTGAACCCCATCATTTTTGGCCAATTGGGACCCTTTTGAAGCCAAAACAGCAACAACTACAAAATCAATTTTGGCAAAAAATCCTACGGGATTACATACCATACCGCACTATAGGTTTATGGTTGCGCTTTATGTAGTAGGCCTTACATGCAGTTACCCATTATCCAATCCTTTCAACCAAAACGACGCCAAACGTTAGTGAAGGAAATATTGGTTTATGATTAATTACAATCCTTTTGTGTATGCTATTTGAAATGACAAACACTGTATACAGAACAAAAAAGGTATCGTGTTTGTAATCAAGCTCTCATGTTTATCAGTGGTGCTCGTATTATTTGCATAACATGATATGCTGTAGTGTGCGCTAGGGTGATTGGTGCGTTTGTGTATGTGTGTGCAGGCGCATACACAGGGGGGTGTTTGGGGGGTAAGGTCAGCTTTTTTAGGTCAGTCATGGGAATATTTATTTATTTTTTTTTTTTTTTTTTTTGGTCTCGAAATTTGAAAAATTGACATTTTGCTCCGTTGGGGAGGGGGGGGGGGGGTAAGGTCAGCTTTTTTACGTCAGCCATGGGAATATTTTTTGTTTGTTTTATTTACCAAAACATTGTAGCATTTACGACATCTGTATTTCTAGATCATCCTATACTTGTATTGCAATGAGTTTCTGTCAGATATGAGCTCATGAGAGATTTTATGATGGTTTTAAATTGACAAACTTGAGTTTTATCTGCTTGTAAATCAAGAAATACATCTTGTACTGTGACATACTGATATTAAAAAGTTCCATGTTCAATGATTTCTCCCAGAGAAAGATAAGGGGGAGTAGTTAATATGTCACCACATGTACATGTAGGTATTACACAAACATGGTATATTCTTAGTGATTTTAGAGTTTACTGTTTTAGAGTTGACTATTCAAGTACTGTTAATGAATCTATTCATAGATGCTGTCCCCCCCCCCCACCCCCTCCCCGCTTATTCAGCGGTCGGCTGAGTCGTTGCTTTGGGACAAAAAAAAACAAATAAAGTGTCCTCCTACCCCCCCCCCCCGCTTATTCAACGGCTGGCTGAGTCGTTGCGAAATTTTCGACCCGATTTATAAATGTTAACCCCCCCCCCCCCTTGAAAAAAATCCTGCGTACGCGCCTGTTCTAACCAATCAGAAGGCCTCTTTTTTTCTCCAGGAGTTAAGTGCCGGTGGACATTAACGCGCCAAATGTGGTTCTCAAATTGCAAAAGATCCCTACTCTTGAAAGCAATTACTCCAGAAAGTGCCTGAAAATGCGTTTAATGTGGTTCTAAATTTGCAAATGCTTCCTACTCTGGGAGGAGGTTCTGACCATCCCCCGCTTGGTCGCTCCGCTCCCTCGCCACTAAAGCCTCGCTCTATCGCTTCATCGTTTTACATTTATATCACCCCATACCATTTTGTGCCCCCCGGTATATAAGAAATTCCTTGATCTGCCACTGATGCCCATACCTCCGCCAAGGGAAATAGCCCCTAGACCTCACTTTGAAAAACGCTCAGCGGGGCCTGCATGTAAGAGTGGGTGGTGTGGATTTGTTGTCAGCCCTTCCAAACGTTTTTGCTAATTAGGCAGAGACTATTGTCCTTCGTCGAGTAACAGGAACTGTAGACTACACAAACTGCATCACTTAATATGCCCTGTATTTCCGATTTATAAACAAAACAATACACCTACTGGCAATGATCGGGTTTGCTTAAACACTAATGAAAAAAAATTCCAAGAGTGACACAATAGATACTATTGCTACAGACTACGTAAAGGCCCGGTCACACAGAGAGGACGCATGGGGAACGCACGGCCAGCGCATTGGAAATTTGCAATTTTGGCCAGTACGTTGTCGTGCGCCCAACTTTTGTCGTAGCTACAGCGAGCTGACACCAAATGCATAGCGTGCTGCTAGCGCGCTGAGCGCATACAGGGCGCATACAGTGCGCATACAGACCGTACCCAGAGCGCACATGATAACAACTTCCACGAATGCACGGCGTGTTGCTAGCGCGCTGGACGAATGGCCCACGCATGCACCGCGTTCTACGACGCACGGCCAGCGCGTTGGAAATCGAAAAAGGCCGTGTGCCTAACTTTTGTCATGATTTTGGAAAAGCTAGCGAGCTGACACAAAATACACAGCGTGAAGCTAGCGCGCTGTGCGTATACAGGGCGTGTGCTCCGCGTATGTTTGGCGCTGGTCTAGCGCGCTCAACGCACGTCTGGCGTGCCTTTGGCGTGTACATTCATGCGTCGAGCTCCGCGCACACTTTTGAGCATGCTCAAAAAATCCCGACGCACACAGCGAATGACGACGAATGCATAGCGTGGGTCCAGCGCGCTCGACGAACGAGTAACGAGTGATGACGTACGCCTAGCGAACGACAACGCACTGGCCAAAATTGCAAATTTTCCATGCGCCGGCCGTGCGTCCCCCATGCGTCCCCTCTGTGTGACCGGGCCTTTAGTAATTAAGAGGCGAGGCCACCACCACCACCATTTACACAATACGATTGATATATGTATGGAAAATCATATCATACTAGATGGTTATCAAATAAAATAACAACAAATATTTGATCTTTATTAGATACTGAAATTGTATAGTTTCTAAGCCTTTCTAATGTAGTCAAAACAAAGTCTACACTTGCAGACTAGGCTTCTAGACTACTTCCTCTTCTTCTCCTCTTTTTCCCCTTTTTGCCATTTGCCACTTTTTAGGTGGTCTGTCGATGACAGATCACCTATTGATTTCGTTAGAATTTTCTTTCTTTATTCTTTATTCTTTATTCTTTATTCTTTATTTATTTTTATTTATTCCGTACACTTTTTTTGTGTATACGTTTACTCGAACTCGACCTGGTCAATTTCCTTCAAATTTCTGCTAGTCATCAGGCCCTATGATATGAAGTTCCCGAAACCTTTTTCAAGTTCATGGGGTCATCGTGACGTCATCCAGGCGCCATTTTGTAAAAATCAGGTCATTATCATATCTCAATAACGAGTAATCAAAAATAAACCATATTTAGTATACATCAACTTCCGGTCAAAGGTCAACGAAAAATGTCAAAAAAATTTGCGCGCGCACCTCGACGCGCACGTACGCGCGCATTAAAATTTTAAAATGGTCAAATTCGTTCCAAATTAATTTTGCATACGTTTCAGGCCATTTTAAGCATTTTGCAAAAAAACGCGCGCACGGACATGCGCGCGCGTTTTCGCGCATAATTGCATCTTCCAACATAGAATCACCAAATTTTTTCTGTCATCATATTTGGCACATTTTTTCAAGCATTTTGATACCTTGTTCAACTTTTTCTGCCCATTAATAACGGAATGAGCGTCCGTTTAAGATAATTACCGTGCGTGCGAGCTCTTGTAATACATAACATACATGTGCAAAAACATGCCTATACAAAATTCATTGTAACTCTTCAGGATGGATAGATACCCCCCAATTTCTTTCATATTTAAATAGATTATGAGTTGGAGATATGATTTCATGTTTCATTTGACCCTCAATTAACTCATGACGTCATCATAATGGCCTCCGAACTCAAAATTTCAATTTTCATATTATGACGTCAGCAGATTTTTGGAAAATTGATTGTATCTCTGCAAATATTGATCAATTTTCTTTCAAATTTTGATATGTTCTACCTTAGAATATTCTCTACAAATGCAGTCACCACGATATTTCATTTTGACAAAGGCATCATGGCGTATTTTTGCGATTAAAGGAGGCATGTCAATTTTTCACATTTTGCGTGTATTCTCTATGGGACATGACTTTTTCTCAAAACTGGTTTCTACATTCTCGTCTTTCGCGAGCAATATCTCCGTCGTTTTATCTTTGTTTACCCTGAGCTTTGAGTATGTTGTAGCTGAGACAATAAGCTATCACAAGTGTGCCTTTTATTTTTCGATCAGATGCCGGGATCATGCTCATATTTCACTTACAAAGTGGGATTTGAGAATTACATTTTCCGTTTACGTGTAATCTCTATAGGAAATGTTTTGGTATATCGGCAACGCACTTGACTTCCGACCTCGAGGTCCCTGGTTCGAGTCCGGGCGTCTCCAACAATTTTTTTTCTTCACTTTTTTTTCTTTTTGACCTTTCACTGTACCATCTCCTTTGAATATTAAAACACATACAATCGCAAATAATGTAATAAACAACCATATTTACTTTATTATTACCCTATTATCACTTGATCCATTACTTTTTGCGTGTAATCCTTATGGGAGATGACTTTTTCTCAAATCTGGATTCTACATTCTTGTCTTTTGCGAGCAATATCGCCGTTATTTCGGCTTGATTTTTGTTGATTTTTGAGTATGTTGTAGCTGAGACTATATACTATCTCAATGTTCTCTCATTTTTTTCAGTCTGATGTCATCATGGTCTGTTGATGATAATCATCAACATCATCATGATCATCATCATCATCATATTCGTCATCACAATTACTATCAAGATCATCATCATCATGATCATCATGATGATCATCATTGTTTACATGTCTATATAACTTGAAGGCAGACCACCTTATTCGTCCTCGTGACGAATTAAATTCTAGTTTCGTATTGCCATTGCCAAACTGATGTCAAGCCATTACATGTCATGAAGTCTTATTCATGGTGCAATTCTCTCACCTATATCACTCCTTATTTCTTTGTCTACATTTATTTCGACATTATCATAATGTTTGCATCCTGGAATGATTGATTGAAAATACAATTGAGTTGTTTAATTGAAATGGATAGAAAGGAAGAGAGAGAGACACTGAAGAAGGGAAGTAGAAACATAAAAAGGTAAAATAGAGGAGGGTGTATGGATAGAGACAGGGATAAGGAATGATCGATATAGAGAGATGATCATAATGAAAGACATCCTTAAATCATATGGAAATGTCAACAATAAGGAAAAGAACCAGGTACATCTCAATATTTCTTTCATAAAAATAATGGGTTTAGATAATTAAAATGGCAGCAAGCTAGCGAGTGAAGGGAGCGCTTCCAGGTTTCCAATTTTCTTTCTTTTTCTTCTCTTTTTCTCCTTTGCTGGAAGCAGGCGCGTACACAGGGGGGGGGGAGGGGTGTTTGGGGGGTTAACCCCCCCCCTTTGTATTTTTTTTTTTTTTAAATTTATTTAAAACAAAAATATTCCCATGGCTGACCTAAAAAAGCTGACCCCCCGAACGGAGCAAAATGTCAAATTTTCAAATTTCGAGACCAAAAAAAAGTGTCCTCTTATCCCCCCCCCCCCCCCGCTTATTCAACGGCTGGCTGAGTCGTTGCGAAATTTTCGACCCGATTTATAAATGTCAACCCCCCCCCCCCCCCCCCTCCCCCTTGAAAAAAATCCTGCGTACGCGCCTGACTGGGCCCATGTACGTATGGAACGTTTGTTCGCAAATATGTGCATGCACAGCCCGAGTGGTGGGTAGCATGTTATCTCCCGGCAGTGCTCGTGGCAGTAGCTTCTGGAAAGAATTTTTTACTAGTGTTACTGTTGTTAGTGGCCATTATAAGGCCCATTATTAGTGACTATAAAAAAAAATTGCTCTTCCTGGCTATTTGGGAATGTGTCAGTTTGCAACAGAAATGGAGAAACGCGCATTTTGTTGAAAATCATGTGAAATCACGAACATATCAATATACATCACTTGTATGGAATTGAAAAAAGTCATGGTTTAATTTTATGGGGGGGGGGGGTAGCGTCTATTTTACAATTGTACTTCGTTATCTTTATGATGTAATCGCAGACACATGTACAGCCCAATTGATGTAACTTTCTCTTTATAAGTGAACATGCCTTCCTATACTTAATTCTCTCCTCTCTTCCTTTCACTATTTTTTCTTTCCTATCAACGTTCTGTTATATATAATGTAATTTTCTATAATGTTCTTTCGGTAACTGTGTTAATTTATTATGGGCGTTCCCAACTCAAGCTATGCTTTCCGGGTTTTCACCTCCTTCCGTATCTGAATTATTTACTGTATACTCTATGTTGAAAAAATTGTTACATATATCATGTATATATACATTGTGTTTTATATTGTGCTGTTGAGAAGGAAATAAATGTTAATAAATACAAATACACCAATACGCCAGTGCCTACACTGGAAAAACAAGGGTGTTAAATTCAACACCATTAACACTTTTCCGGTATCTATATCGGAAAACACCAGCTGGTGTTCTTTAACACCAGGGTTTGGAATTAAACGATTCAATTCCACTCTTGGTGTTGAAGTAATTCCGCCTTTGGTGTTAAAATCTAACACCATTATTTCAACTTGATGTTAAAGTTCAATTCTAGTTTTGGTGTTAAAAAAATCCATCACCATTTCTTTCAACACCAGTGGTGTGTAGAATTTAATCCTGATATTTTTGTTAAAATCAATACCAATGATTTAACACTAAATTCGAAGAATCCTGCGATGTTTGTTGGATTTAGTGGTTACAGTTTTCTAACTTTTCTGTCTGCAGAACAAATTTTCACACTTAACGGCATGATTGCGCTGATTAAATACAATTTTCAGACCTTGACTAAAAATTCCATAACCACGATATCCAGAAGAGATTCTTGACGGCTAGCTCGCGCATGCGCATGCACGATACGACGTCATATTATATGTCAACTGTCGTCCAATGATTTTGCTCGAATCCACTAACTTTTTCGCATGCGCAAGTTCAACACCATTACACCAAGACTCGGAACATCAACCTGTAATTAAATATTTCGACACTCTGTTGGTGTTGAACGGACGTGAACGGACGTGAAAATAACACAAAGGGTGTTGGTGTTAGAAATTTAACACCCTGGTTTTTGCAGTGTGCAACTATTGCTCTGATGTTGTGTGAATCTCACTGATACCTGTGTTTATGCCATGACATGATACTTTTTTGCCACTTCACAACAATTTTCATTATGACACCTGATAGTTTTTCATCATCTTGGCATAGATGAAATAAGGTGACAAGGCGTCTGTTATGCTTACTCCTTTGTGCCTCTCTCGATCGAAACCGTTGATATGAAGTCCCTCCTCCCACTAAACGTTTCTTTTTTTGTGGTCATCTTTGGTATAGCAAATCAGACTTTTTGTCAGCACTGTGACACTAGCTTAATTAGCTTCACAACAGTTTAATACAATTTGATATAGAGGGCTGCAAAATGTTTTACATTAATTAATATCACAATTAAATCATATAAAGCATTTATACAACCCCACATATCTTTCGAAATAAAGGTGTGGGGAAGCATTTATAAGACTAGCCTAAGAAGTATATTATATTCTCAGAAAATGGCAGTTCGTGCTATAACATTTGGTGGATGAAAAACTCTTTCAGATCCGTTAATTAAAAGATTGCGAATCCTAAATGTGTATAATTTACATGATTTATCCGTTTCTTTTTTCATGTTTGATCTAGTCAATGACAATTTGCTCCAATATTAGGTCAATGTCTTGTTTAATATACAAAGTGATATTATCTGGAGAGTGCAAAATTAGGGGTATAGCTTTATGTGACGCCTTAAAGTGACTTGGTAACATTGTTGAAGGTTGATGACAAAATTGCTTAATTTTGTATAAAATGTTACTTACTATATTCCTTTTACTGGACTAACCCTCTGACATGCAAAAAATCCTGAAAAAATTCTCAAACCACGAAGATATCTATGGTTTTCTTTGAAGGAGTCGATGTATGACACCCTCTAACAGTGATTAACAATAAATTCTCCCAACCATTTTTGAATTTTCCCAACCGTTTTTCCATGAAAAAAAGACATTAAACAGGCTATAAAAAATCTGTCAACACTTAAATGTCTGGAATGGAATGTAGAGCCATTTTATTGCTTTGTGACGATTTCCATTCACCTAAAATGTAATTAAATTGTAATAATATAGTTGGGAGAATTAAGGAATCGATCAGAACATTTTTTCTTAATTTGTACCATGAATAATGGTCCGTTTTCACTCACATTTTCAGATTCTCTTTAATGGTACATCTAGCATTGAAGTCACTACCTTAGCACCACTATCTCTCATCTGAACAATGTACCAAGTCCCTTTAATGCACACACACACACCCGCAAAAAAAAAACTCGCGCATACACGCATACACCCACATGCCGCCGCACACTATTTTAAATATGGCAATTAAAATCAATTCAGATGAGATTAGTTAGATGTTACTATCTCATCGTAAATGACATTTACGGTTATCATGTAATTGCCGTATAGTTTTGACTTTAAATTAACTTTAAATTGACACCCGCATAGCTTCAACCCAATTGATGAAAAGCAAATCCATCGCTTCTGATTAGTTACTTGGTATGTGTCAAATTTAATTGAGTTTCTATTCAAATTAACTGCGAGCGGCCGGAATTTTTAACCGTCAAAATATGGTTAATTCAAGACACTTAACAAATTAGGACATTTGCAATAACAGCAATGGAAATTGATACAAATGAATCCATTCTAGTTTGATTTCCGCACGCTATTTTTAATGTTACGATATCGGGTAATTACAATCTCGTTTAAAGGGATTTTTCTTTAAATAGCATTCCACTGTCAGTTAACTCTTACAGCATTCATTAGTAAATGGAATTACATTTACAATTAGAAAATGCATATCTCAAAGAAACCAAGGCACGTTGCCCGTGCATGTAAACAACTCCTGACAATTGCGTATGATCATCGCGTGAAAAATGAAACCCAATTAGCCCCCTTGGAAAATCAGGGGGTATCTAGCCGCTGTGCCCCCAGTCCCGTGGCCTGTCTAAGCGAAAGGGAGCGGGGACAAAATTATACGCCGACAATAATTTCCCGAAAATGTTTCTCACAATTTTTTTTTTCCGGCAGCTATTTTTTCCAGCGGGAGTCCATCTCCCAAGCGCCCAAAACCAGAGAGAGTGCGCATTTTACACCTTAACGGGTTTGTTTTTATTTTGTTATTCATAACGACGGGGGCACGACTCCAACGCATTTCAAAGCGCTTTTTATAAATAGGAATTACACCATTTGAAATGATTGACAGTCCTTACTGTTATTACTATCACTATTACTATCAATATAATTGTTATCATTTCCATTGTTTTCGTTATTTTTCTTTTTTTAATTTATAGTTATTATCATTATTAGTATTATTATTATTATTGTTATTATTATTATCATCATTATTATTATTATCACTATCGTTATTATTATTATTATTATTATTAATAATATTATTTTTTACTATTGGCCTCCTTATTGTTATCGTTGTTAATATTATAATTGTTTTAATTATTGTTATCAATACTATCAATATCATCATCATTACTTCTACTTCTATTACTACTACTACTACTAACACTAACACTACTACTACTACTACTACTTCTTCTACTACTACTACTATTACTACTACTTCTACTACTCCTCCTACTAATAGTACTACTATTACTGCTCCTTCTACTACTACTACTACTACTATACTACTACTACTACTACCACTGTTATTACCGACCATATAATGATATTACTGTTTTATGATAATAATCGTTAAAATCTAATCACCCGCTCCAAGTGAAGATTATTATGTCGAAGACATGTCTACACTGCACATTCGCTGTATAATGACTTTACACAACATACACGCATAATTACAAATCCCACCACTCCTATTTCAGCTATCCGTGAAATTCAATCTAATAAAAACTATCTCCATTTATTTGTCTACCTGTCGTCAACTTAATTTGTTATAATTATGTATATATATAAATATATATATATATACACGATAATTTTTTCTACTATAAAGAAGTAAGAATAGAGATATAAATGATTCGACGAGTGCCGAGATTCACGCTCTCTCTATGCTATGTCATCTCTTCAAAGCAATATTGAATGACGTTACAAATTGCATTGTGGATTGTGGAAGCAAAGTTGAATATATAGAGTTCTATCCTTAAGCTTGAAGCCCTGATTAAGTTTCTGGTTTAATTTCTGATTGCTAGGGTTGTAATATTGTCCCCAAACCACAAGGTATGCCTAATCATTAATGAGACCATTGTCATTGTATCCCCATCATAATGCATCTTAATCAGCCTAGGAAACACAAAGGATCATATGTCGTCAGTGTAGTCAGTCCTACGTCAAACAAGACTATAGTATCATTTTTTTTGTTTTCGAATTCTCCTCCCCAATTGATAACGACGGTCAAATTGTGATTGAAACGGGCCTTTTGTGCATTTCAAAGCTGTAGTATAATTAGCATTGCTTATCAATATGCTGATCCAAATGCAAACACACCAGATCATTACTTATTTTCTGTATAACTCAATCGGTGGGGGTGCATTGGCGATTGGATATATGTTCTTGTGTTGACGTGTCCCATGAATTCTAATTCTTCAATTAAGTCGTGTCCTATTTCTGTTCATTGTTGCTGTAGTTGTTGTTGCTATTGTTGTGTAGTGTGTGTGTGTGTGTGTGTGTGTGTGTGTATGCGTGTGTGTGCGCGCGTGTGTGTGTTCGTTCCTATTCTTTTATTATGCATTCTAGGAGTGATGTTATTATCAGAATAAACATGAAACACCGGAAATGAAATTGTCAACACCATCTAGAACTCTCTAAAAAAGGGAAAAAAATGGTAGACTCAAATTTACTCGATGAAGTCTCTCATGATTGACTCAATTTCGAAATTGGTTGTTTAAGTAAATGTAGAAATATATGTATATACATATCAATAGTTATTAAATATTTATGATCTTTATCAAACAGACGATTATCTAATAGAAATTCATACACAAATGAAATTCGAAACAAAAGTATTTATATAAAAGTATTTTATTGTGCATGGTTACTGACATATAGCTCCTGTAAAAATAAGTTAT